GTACATCTGATGCAACCAGACATATTGATTGGCTGTTGTAAGGAAGTAACTAGGGGGTAACTCTAAGGTATGGGCCAAGGACAAGCCATGCAGTCTTTCCTGGTACTTGGGTGCAGCTTGGGTTCAGCTATGGCTCATGTTCTCAGGCTCGTTTTCTTTTAAGATGGAGCCCAGTCCCAAGATGGAGTAGGATTAGCCTTTCAACCAACATTTCTTTTATTAAAATGTGTGTGTGTGTGTGTGTGTGTGTGTGTTAGTAAGTGTTCTCTGGCTGTGGAGAGACACCATCACCATGACCATAGCAACTCCCACAAAGAAAAACATTTCACTGTGTCATGTCTAGAGTTTCAAAGGTTTAATATATTGTCACTATGGCACGAAGCATGGCAGCATGCAGCCAGACATAGTACTGGAGAAGTAGCAGAGAGCTCTACATCTCGATCTGCAGGAAGACAGAGAGAGACAGAGAGACAGAGAGAGACAGCGACAGAAAGACAGAGAGAGACAGAGAGAGAGAGAGAGAGAGAGAGAGAGAGAGAGAGAGAGAGAGAGAGAAACAGAGACAGAGACAGAGACAGAGACAGAGACAGAGACAGAGAGAAGAGTTATGAGGTTTACTATATTTTAACGTGAAAATTCCACTTTAAGACAGAAGTACCATGAGGGGGAATGCTAGCCAGAACCAGCCAGTTCTCCCAGGGAAAAAAGTGAGTCAGTCATCCTTTCCTCAGCTGGTGGGTACTCCAAGTGTCCCTCATATCAGCCAGAGACAGGGATAACAGCTTGAATCTGTAAAATGATGATATATTGAGGACTGAGTGTTCGACATGAAGGTTTGAATGTGTGACTAGGATTCTCTGTCTCAACATAATGGAGTCTGCAGATTTTCAAATAAGGGTTTTTATAGAAAAGAAAATTAATATGTGTGTGTGTGTGTGTATTTCTGAGTATTTTTTGGCAAAAATATGTATTTAAAGGAAACTTTCAATAAAATAAAAACTTTAATTATATTTTAACCCATCTTTTTATTGTTGATTCTGAGGTTTGGTACTTCATATTTTGTGCTGCTGTTTGGTCAAAGAACCACAGTAAGAATATCTATCAATTCTATCTGATATCATCCTATTTTCTAATGCTAATTCTGCTTATTAAGAGTTCAATTTTTTTCTGCAAATTTAAGCTCAGTTTTTCAGTGCTCATAGGAAGATGCTGCTCTTTAAGTACCCTCCTTCTTCATCATCCACGGTGGTAGGCCCTTCATTTCTGCTAATGTTATGATCATAGTAGTGAATAAAACACATCTAGAGTTCTTGTTCACAGTCTTTGCATGAAGGTAACAGAGGCAAACAGTATATTGAAAGCAAAAATATGTGTGCCCTGCACATGTGCTAAGCCTCTGTATTAAAAATGACACCCACTCAGCACAGATAATTATGTCAAAAAATCTCAGCACCATTAATATTTCCTTAGACAGTTTGACATGATCCTTCCTAGGTTTGAGCAGGGAACCATGATTTTCTAGAGAAGCAATGGCTCAGTGCTGTAAATGTGTCAGTTTTTAACTTTTGCTCATGTACGCTCCCTGTCCGGTCCTTCAAAACCCCTACACTCTTTGAAATGATCAGGTAGAAAATCTTGTTCATTTTGTAACTTAGAGAACCTTCTTGAAGCTCGAAGGCTAAAAATAAGAGAAAGAAAGAAAGAAAGAAAGAAAGAAAGAAAGAAAGAAAGAAAGAAAGGAAGGAAGGAAGGAAGGAAGGAAGGAAGGAAGAGAGCGAGAGAGCGAGAGAGCGAGAGAGCGAGAGAGCGAGAGAGAGAGAGAGAGAGAGAGAAATAAAGAAAGAGAAGCAAACAAACAAAGAAATTCTCTTGTCATCTATGAGCTTTGTCTATATTCCTGATTAGAGTTACTCAAAACCTAGGAAGTAGGTGACACACTCATGATGATCTCCTAAAAATCCAGGCTTGAATATTCAGTACTTTGTTCAGATTTATATGCTAAGCAAAGACTGGAGTGTTGCACTGCAAATAATAATGTTTAATGTTGAATGCAGCTTACCATTTGCCAGGTTATGATTGAAAACATTATTTCAAGCTTCATATGATGATACACACCTTTAATCCCAGCACTGGGGAAACAGTGTCAGGCAATCTCTATGGTTTTGAGGCTAACCAAGTCATATGGTGAGTTCCAGCCAGAGATAAATAGTGAAACCCTCTTTCAGATACAACAAAACAAAAGGCTGTTTTTGTACCTTACTAAACCTTCAGAGCAACCTGTTGTGGATTTGTCTGTTTTTTTGTGCTCCATTGAAAGGGATACCTGGTGAGGTCAGGTGAAATCTTCATTAGTCAGATAAGGCTAGAGCCTGTGATTCAGCAGCAGAAGGAGGGCGCAGAGATGAAAGTTTTAGAGAGGGTAAAGAGAAAGGAGAAGAGACAGAGAGAGACTGAGGACAGAGAGAAGACAGAGGAAAAGGAAGATGAACCAGAACCACTTGGCCTGGACAGGGATTTCATAGATGGAAAAGGGGTAATATAGGGGACATTTGCCTGATGTAGGTGTTCTGCTTGTATTTATATCAACTGAGTTTTGTGTTCTTTGTGAGTGCATTTTGGAGTTGGAAATTTACCGTTACAAATCTGGCTGGTAAATCACAACTCTCTAGTGTTGTCATTTTACAGGGCTAAGGGGATCTGACCTAGCAGTTAGCCACAGGTGGTGGATGGCCTGGGAAGATTGGAGTGACTTCGCAGCAGCTGGCCATAGAAACCAGGGAAACATAGTCATATTCGTGCTCCTCATATGGGTGGGGAGAACACCTATGCTAGTGATTAGCCGGGTTTGCCTTTTATTCCACTACATGCTACAGTAACCTTGTGACGAAATGGCTATTCTGATTTTTAAGGTCAAAGAAGTTGTGAATGATGAGACTTGCATTAAGTCACAAGAGCCTGGGATGGTGTTTCCACTAATGCCATCCCAGATCCAAGATTCATGCTTTGTGGAAAGCTAAAACATAAGCCCTTCTAACTGCTCACTGTATCCATATTCTGTGCATGCTTTAATGATGCATTTGGAGCATAGTTGCAGTGTTAGTTATACAGTGTTCTTAAATAAGTCAGCAGACATTTTCAGAGCCTTTCCTGTGGAAAACTGATACATCACAAGCATCTGCCTGCCCTGGGTCCTCCAATCCACTTCCCATGTCTTCCATGTGTGTGTGTGTGTGTGTGTGTGTGTGTGTGTATGTGTGTATGTGTGTAGGCTATAAATAGAGGGATTACCCCAGGACAAGTTGGTAGAGACAAAAGAGACTAGCTACAATTATTATGCAAGCGTCCACACTGCATCCATAGTACTTTTCTTACACTGTTGTGATGATTTAATGTCTGTAAAATGTTCCATGGTCCTCAGGTGTATTATAATAGCAGACATGAGTGGTGACTCAGAGTCACTTGGGTTAAAGAGCCAAAACCATGACTTTCAAGATGTCTCTGTGGATAAAAACACTAGCCACACAAGCCTGATGACATGCCCAAAGTTGATCCAGTGTAAGAAAAGAACTAATTCTCCAAAGTTGTCCTTTGACTACCATATACACCACATGGCATGTATGAACTCTCTCTCTGTGTCTCTCTATCTTTCTGTCTCTCTGTTTCTGTACCTCTCTCTCAAACACACACACACACACACACACACACACATACACACATGCACACAAGGAATGGTGACTTTGAACACTGGGCTAAACCCAAAACATTCCAATTCTCCACTATAGTTTAATAAGGAAATCTTTCTTTGGTGAAATAGTTTCCTTCCAGGAATTCTCATCATAAACTCATGGGCAAAATTCATACAAGAATTGATTGTCTTCTCTCATCTCTAAAATATCAATTGTGAATATTTTCATGTCAAGATGGTAGACTGTAATGAATTAGATGTCATCTCAAATTTCCTTAAATGTAAATCTCCTTGAATCCATGATTTGGTGCATAAGATGTCTTTCTTAATATGTTTGAAATATTATGTATTAAAATGCATATACCATGTAGTTTTTAAACTAACAACAACAAATATACAACAACTAGAATATTCAGCATTCAAGGATTATCTAATTCATGTATACTATACATACATAATATATATGTGTGTGTGTGTGTATTTGTGTGTGTGATTAATAGTTATATATGCTTTAAAATCTTGAGATCAGTACTTATAAAATAAAGATATGTTTATTATTTATTAGAAAATATGGATTAGAAACATGCTCTAAGTTTGTGGTATACAAGTATAAATCCAGCAGTGAAGAGAGTGAGACCAGAGGAAGGAGAATGTGGTCAGCCTCTGCTACAGAGTGAGTTACAACAACTGTCTCACAAAACAAAGACATCAACATCAAAACAAACAACAAACAAAACAAACAAAAAACAAGAAAAACAACAGAACAAAGCAAAACATAGACTCGAGTCCATAGCTCAGAGGAAGTGTATTTGCTGACCATGCTCATTGTCTTAGATTCAGTTTCCCAGCAGCTTGACAACATCAGCAGTAAAACATATGGAATGTCATCAATGTTCATAGTAAATATTATCTGTGATTAAAAAACTAGAAGAGTGTAAAGGAAGACTTTACCAGTGGAAATGTGAGTGCTTTAAGGCATTCCTAATATATACTTACTGCAATTCACATAATTAAAATCAAGAAGTATCATTTGAAAAATAGTAATGTAAAAGAAAATTTCCTACAACCTGTTATAAGACTGTAGCCTTGGAACTTCAGTCCCTCTTTTTCTTAGTGGTTTTGCTAAGGACACTGGTTTGGCTCTCACAGTAAGTGTGTTTATCTTCTTAGTCTTCATGTATCAATTAAGGACATATTTTGCAGCATCTGGCACAGTATGTTGGTACTTTCCTTTTCTTTCAGAGTCAGCTTAAATTAAGTAATTTCCTCTTTTTGCTTTAGCAAAGAGGAAGGGCAGAAAATCATGAGCTGGAGTGTCACTTGGATGAAATTCATTTCTGCCTTTTCTCTTGGAGCCTCTTTGGTGATACAGACTAGGAAAGGCCAACTGTTCCCCAATTGGGGGACCAATTACTTCCATCAGAATCACCTCTGAGAAGAGACACAGGTAACACCTTCTCTTGATTTTCTATCAAAGACCAAGGGTACTCAAGAGAATTTTATATGAGAGCATAATTAATGGGGAATACCTGTTGGTTGTGTTAGATCAGGTTAACTCTGGCAGCATGTGAAAACTGTTGTTCTGCAATGGTTATTTTATTCTAGAGTATGTTGTGACTTGGGTGCTAGGAAATTAAGGTAGAGGAATCTATGGAGTTCATAACTATTTAACAGGGTTGAATGTTTATATATTATTCATCTGACAGATGTAATTTTAGGAGACAGGTGAGATGGGTCAGTGTGTAAATGTATTTGCTACACAAGCCCGACTGACTGCCTAGTTTGATCCTTGAAACTAACATGAGGGTAGAGTGAGAGGTCTCACTTTATAAAGTTGTCCTCTGAACACTGGCACTTTGGTTTAGGCAACTCCACCCCAAGAGCAATAATAATACTAAAAGACAATTTTGAAAAATAATTCTGTAATAGGATTCTTTTTTCTCAAGAAATAAGACAAAATGGAAATAATTCTAGAAAGCACCATTAACTAAAAAACTAGATAAGAGTGTTATCACATGCTCAGTTACAAACACTTACAATTTACTACTCCATGGATATCTATTTTAAGATTGCATCCTTCATGGATGTTAGCTCATGTCTCCTGAATAATGATAAAATTTATTTTTCATACAGCCTGCTCTGGGAACATCATATGCAAGTATATTATATGTGACATGATTTTACATGGAATGATTTGTGATTAAAACTTCATATTGTATTGTCTATGCCTCTCTCTGTTGCTCCCACATCCCACCCCTGCATTGTCCCTCTTCTACTTTCCTGGTTGCTGAAGCTACTCCAGGTTATATATCATTTCTGAAAACTTTGCACCAGGAGCCTCAGAATAGAGAGAACATGAAGCATTTGTCTTTCTAGGTCTGGATTACCCAACTCAGTAGGATCTTTTGTAACTGAAACCGTTTACCAGGTCCAACTATGGGAAAGAATGTGTAGACTATGGCTGAGTGGAGAGGTTGGACATCTCAGCTGATTGGGGCTTCAACCGAAGAGATATTTATGTGTTGTGGATCGCCTGCAGTATCAACTTTCAAATATTATATTGAAGCTGTTGTCTGTGAAACTCCAAGAGAAATGTATCATTGAAAATATTACAATAACATTTTTATACTCATGTGTTTATCAAAACGTGTAAATAATTTTAAAGCAAAATTTTTATTCATTCAGAAAGCTGTGAATCTTTTATCTGAACAAATTGTTTAAAACTTTTACAGTGGTACTAATTTTACTTAACATTTGATATGTTGAATATTTTTGGACAAACAGGATGTGCCAACATTGTGATGACTTATTCAAAAATTTTTGAGTTCTTTCCACATTTCTTAATAATAATTGCTGTGACCATTAGAAGTATAAACAATTTTAACAGAAATCTGCAAAAAGTTCTCAAGTATAATGGGAACAAAAGCCAGTCCATGCTGTGATATTTGGATCATTAGGGAGTTAATCAGACCCTACTTCTTCCTACACCACCATAGCACCTGATCTAGGTACCTTCCTAAAGGTGGACATTTCAACTTTTTTCTTTAGAAATAACTCAAGGCCACATTTTAACAGAGAACGTACTTCACACACTTCCAGGATGAGTGAGCAGGAAGTCACTTATGCAACTGTGAGATTTCATAAGTCTTCAGGGTTGCAGAACCAAGTGAGGCTAGATGAGACTCAAGGGCCCAGAGAAGCTAGCCACAAAGGTAAGTGCTTTAAGTTACTAAACTCTCCTGATTCTATTCATTGTAACCTTTAACTTTTGAATACAATGTCTATTGACTTCTGTTGAAAACTATAACCTTCCATTTCATCTGGGTTTGGTGGTTTACAAGTATGTGAGAGAGATAAGAGAATATTAGTAGGAGAGTAATATACACAATTGTTGTATAGTTAGTTTAAAAGATAGAATAATCAATTTTAAATGTAAAATAAAAAAGAAAGAAATTATAACCCTAATTCTTCTTCTAGTTTTTAGCTTATAACTAAAACCAATCAGATGGCCAGAGTAGAAAAATGGGAGTCTATAAGTAAAGAGTTCCTGTGAATGGAGAAACAAAAAAAGTTGACAATATGTCAAACTTGAGAAGTCATTATCAGGTTTACATTTACTCTAGTCAAGAAAAATTCTGAAAACTTTAAAAGTAGCAAACAAGAATCTGAAGAAACACCAAATATTATAGAGAATAAAATCTTAAGGAAATGTAATGTGCACCAGAAATAATACTTTCCCTCTCACAGAAAGTGTTTTGTATTAAATCTTTCCAACATCTAGTGTAACAGAGCAGCAAGGTTTGTCCATCAGAAGAGGAAGTCTCTTTCTGGGAAGAAAGTTACAGAGGGAGAGAAAGGATGAGAGGGTAGTAGATATGGGGATATGTAAACCACACTGTGTTTTCCAAAAGAATAATTAAATTTGTTAATGAAAATAAGAAAACTCTCAATTTTCCCTTCTCTGTTTCTGCTCATTCTGCTCACACTGTCAGAGTTGAACTCCAAACTGAGAACCATATCTTATTTGATATAGTGATAATCAGAAACTTGATTTTTCCATTCTGAATACCTCACATGCACTTAGTATTGTGTAGAGAAAAATAGACCTTACAAATAAACAGAGTTGACTTCTAGGCCCCTTTAAGGATGGGGCTGGATACAGGACAGATCTACAACAATCATGTTGCCTAAAAGTTCTCAAGAACATTCATCCCTCTTTCCTTCCTCTCCATCCTCAATTATGCTTTTTTGGTGGACTGCATGCCCTGGTTTGGGGTGTTGTATTTAGAGTGTGTCTGTGCTTTCTGAAGGATGCATTTTGTATTCTGTAGAACTGGGTAAGGGCACAAGCTTGTTATCCAGTTTCTTCTAGGATGAGAGGATAGGATTCAGAATATAACACCAAAATCCTGTGAAGCTTCACACAGGTAGGACTTCTACTGTAGGTTCATTTTAGGCAGAAGTCTATAATTTTGAAAGCACATTTAAAGCCAGTTTGTATCATAAAGTACTGTAAATATTTTAGAGACAAAATCCACTTATTTCCGTGCCACACAAAGTATGATCAATATTGAGATTTGTTATTTTTTAGTGATAATTTTCTTGCTTTGTTTTGTTGATTTAAGAGTGTTCAGTCTCCTGGCATCTTATTGTGATACCTCTTGGAATCCTCTGTTCCATTCTGCTGGTAACTGTGGCAGTGTTAGTGACACACAGTGAGTAACTGGGATACATCTTCTTTGACTTTATATTTAAGAATTAACCTGAGACATTAATTATACAGTTATAACACTGTGTGCATTGTCCTGCCTATAATCAGCAGATGAGCCAAAATCTCTTGACTCATACTTGTACCTGGCGTACCACAATGTCTCTTCTCTTATGTACCTAATCTGTTCACTCTTGGGCTGTTGGGAGCTGCCTTGCTTTTTTTTATTCTTGCTCATGTTCCTTCTAAGGAATTGTTGGTAGTCTTTTTTCTGAGCTCAGTTAATTGTGAATCTTAGGTAAACATTCTGGGATGAGCAGCTGTGCAGAAGAAATGATGACCTTCTTTTCATTTTCTCTAAGTGTATATTGAGGTCATGGTTAAGTAAAAAGACTAAATCTTTACAGAGACATGAAATTTTAAACTTTATTGGATTCCTTCACACATATACAGAAAATCAATTCCAGGCTCTGCTTAAACATTGTTATATATGTAAATATTGTGCTTTCTATATGCTCCAATTAAAACAGTGTGATTTCTTATCATTTTTGTAGTTCAAATTTTCATCATGGGTTAAGTATTTGCTGAATATTTTACTTAGGTATTTATTTGTAAATTTGTGCTGTAAAAACTGAAGTAATTGGAAGTTATTTCCACCATAAACAATAATCCACCATCATTTTACTTAGCTGTATTATTTACTTTATATTTAACATACCTATAGAGAAAAATGATATGACTATTTCTATAGTGAGATAATTGAAGTGGTAATTTACAAATGTTGAAGTACGAACTAAAGTAATGATATGTGTTAGCTGTCAACATGAAGTTTTTTCTCTAATTTTAAATTTCAATATGTATTCCTTATGAGCATTTTTGATGTTATGTCTGCTACTAACTTTAGTTTTTCAGTATAGTAAAGAAAAACATGAACTGCAGGAAACTCTAAACAACCTCAACCATAACTACAGCTCCATGAAAAATGAAAGCTATTTAAACAAAGGAATGCTGAGAAATAAGTCTATAGAATGTAATTCTTACAAAAATCTTCTGGACACCTTCAAGAGACAACAGAACAGATGCCACATGGAAGCCAAGGTTATTTTAGATTGCTTACAGCACAGAGGTATGGAGAGGAACTTGAAAAAAACAGTTGCATTATTTTATATTGTTTCTTCTTCCAGAAGCTTTGAAATCAAGTATCAGCTTAGGATGCTATTGATGTGTGAGTTAATGGTCTGGGGTTTCTTTAACTTGAGTAGAGTCCTGGAACCCTGGAAATCCCTGTCTGGACTAGGAGAATCTTATAGTTGATAGAACTCAGAGGCCTTTCTGGTTCCTACTGGTCCCAGAAGATGGAATCACAAGTTGGCACCCCAAACAATTCAGGTCTTTATGGCTTACTGCAAATTATGAATCTCTAACTTTGTTGCTGACAGAACTTGGCAGCTTTTAGTAAGAATGCATCTGCCAAATACTACTCTAAAATGGACTTAGAACATTTACATGGATGCAGTCAGAAAAATTATTCTCTCTCTCTCTCTCTCTCTCTCTCTCTCTCTCTCTCTCTCTCTCT